AACCTTTTTCTCAATATTTATGCATTATTTTTAGTGTTTTTTTAGATTTATTATAGGCAATATTAGGGATCTTTTTTGTTAGAAAAGTTGGATTCATAGCTAAAATTTACGATCAAGTTGATATTTTATAAATTCGGATTAAGTTAATATTAAGGAACTGTTAACTTATTTTTCTATTATTTATTTGTTTTGTGCATTTGTAATTTTTCCTTAGAAATTTATTTGATGACAAATAGTTCCTGATTCAACAATTACTAATCTTGTAGTCAACAAAGAAGCTTAAAAGTGACTAAATTTTAAGGTTTAAAAATTTAGATGTTACAAGAAATCTTAACGCAAACATGGCTACTGTGTTCAAATGTTACTTCAGGACATTTACTGCCGCAAAGGACGATTAATTCGATGACATTTTCAAATTTTTTCAAAGATATCAGTCCTAAGTGTGAGCCCTTGCAATGGTTGCTAGTTACACGAAATATTAATTCTGTTTCAGAATCTGCAGAGATTTGGTTGGATAGCAAAATTTTGAGAAATGATGGGCTTTGTTCGGGCTGTAAATACGGTGGGTTCCTTTTTTATAAAATACAGTACTTTTTTATGCTTCTTCTCTCGATAATTTGGCAACATAAGCTTTGTTAGACCATGGTACACAGGTATGTAATGTATATCGTTTGCATTCCAATCGTACGAAGAAAGAGTCAGCAGGAGAAATCAGAGAAAGCCTTGTGGTGAATGACATTATGCTCCTAAGAGTGTGCAACAAAACAGATGGATCAAATCCTCAAACATTTCTTCTGGTTTAGTTAAATTAATTATATTCTAAAAGAATTTTCTACAATGACTCTGTAAAAAGATTACATTAATCAGATTCACGCTAACATTTAACAACATGCTAGTTTAAAGAAATGCATATGCGTAAAAAGGGAGTATATAGCAATTGAATCACAAGTGTTATAAAGGAAGACAACTGAAGAGTAGATAAAATGCAAAGGTTTTGAAAAATCTTTATTGGCAGCATATGACTGACTGCCTTTTCAATAAAAATTAAAATCAAAGTAGTTCAAGAAATTCACTGAAATAGGAATCTGGAAGCAATAATAGAAGTTTTATGGGTTGAAGAGGCCTTTTTTCAAACGATATAAAGAAGCACGAGATGACAAAAAGCACTTCATCAAACATCAAAATCAACAACAAACTAAAGATATTAGGAATTTTAATGTTCAATAATTGAGGTCTGAAATATAAACTGAAACTCAAAGAAACTCAGAGTATTTAGAAAATTATCTACGGTCAAAAATTAGCTTGAACTTCTACCTCAACATTAAGAATTATGTTAAAAAGCATTTGCAAGTACACTTGCAAGTGAAAAGATCTTTACATTCAGTAGTCGTTGATATAGGAATTGGAGGTTTTGAGGAAGGCTGGTTTGATGGTAGATCTGGTGGTTTGAAGTATTGGCTTTGGTTTTGTTTGGCTCTGTTTGGTCTGGTTTGGATAACGATACTGAATGTAAATCATTTTCCTGCAAGACTACACTTTTTCGTGCATATAAAACTGTCTTAATCTTGAAATGTTCGTACTTTTTGACAAGCTCAAAACATGTCTCAGTTTTGTTCCGTTTCAAAATATTCAAAAATTGCCAATAGTAGAGAAGTGCCATTTATCAAAACTTTTTTCACCTAAACCGTTAGTTGAAATTTCACATTATTAGCATAACAGCATCATTAAGCTGTGAAAATTTTCTAAACTGGTTTATGATATACTTTACATGAACTCTGAAATTTTGGTAATATATTAAAGAAAAAGTCGTTTTATAAAAGCAAAGTTTAAAAGCATATACTTGATTAGGTGGTTCTGCGTTTGTTATAAAAAACTTAGAAAAACAAAACAAGCATGATGCTCCTTTTTGATAAGCCTTAATTTAACATTGACAAAAAAGACCAAAAGCACTGAGGAAGTTGCTCACGTTTGCATAAATCCCAAGAGAAACGAAAACAATAGTTTGGAACATAATGCATCTTGACAATCACTTGCTTTCAGAGACAATAAAAATGGAATACACATGGGGCATCTTGGTGCTTGCTGTCGTAGGCTTGCAGCTTACACATGTTGTTTGATTGTTACCGTACAAATTTAACTGGAACTAATTTGAAAGTTGAACAATTTGATTGCTTCCGAACCGAAAATACACCCATCCTTCAAAGGATCTATATTTTTTCTCGAAAATTGCTCAAATTTAAGTTTGTTCTACTTAGTGAATGATATTAAAAGAATTAATTAGAAGAGCTTTGGAATCATCCAAATTTAAATTAAAATTGCACAAGCTAGAGCCTTAATCGAGTAGATTAAGAAATACTGATAGTAGTTCGTGATTCGAAGGGCAGAACTTCGCTTGCATGGAGATCAAAACTCCCTTGGGTAACAGGCAAGCAAGGATGCCTGAATACCTTTGCATTTCTTTACCTTCATAGAAATTATGTGTCAAGTTGATGTACGACAGGCCTGACTGGTTTCGTCGCTCCATCGATTGAGAAAATCAGAAAAGTTAAGCACTATGTAAACATACACAAACTTAGAAGACTTTTTGCATGAATTATATCCTGGAAACTTGGAAACTAAATCTTGTATCAAAAAGTTTTTGCATTCGAGTTTGCTGGCTTCTGTTTCGTCGTTTCAGATTTTGGAGAACAAGAGGGGAAGGAGGCATGAGAAGCAGGACAGAAGTCAGAAGATTCTGAAGATTTATGAAGAATTTATTGAACAATCGAACTTATTATCATGGTAGATTAAAGAAAATTCGTTAACTGGCAGCATCTCGCAGTACTGGATCTTTTATGATCGATAAGGATTATTTAGGCGATAGGTAAGCCATCGTGCAATTGGAGATTAGAACATTAGGAGGACGTAGAAATCCCAAGGTAAACTTCTTTGAAATTATTCAACTTTTAGGGTTCCTCTTAACCTCTTAGGCACACTCGATGACCCTAGCACATGTGAATACCTCGGCCGAAGTCTCTTTAGCAGTCAGATAGAACTTGTTAGGATTTCAGCATAATACTCCCAGTACAATTGCTCAACCAATGCATTGAGGTAGCTCCAAGACACTCCAAGTAACCCTCTTTTCAAGAGCTTTCTTCCCAGCAGTTTATACTAATTATTTTATTAGAATTTAAGTTACCTTAAAGACCCATCATAGCACACCCAACCCTTAGATAAGGTGATACCAACACATTCTATGTTTTAAAAAATACCATTTAACGTGTCCAGGTCTAGGTCGCCCAGATACCCCCTTTTGCAGACCTCGATCATTAATTTCAATTTTTAGTATATTCCTGTTATTAGAATATCATTAGGTTCATACATTCGCATTTTTAAAGTCTAAATTTTGCGAGATATTGCCGAGTAACCGTACTTAGTTTAGCGATGTAAGATTGGAAAGGTTTCCTCTTCGGATGGATTTGAGCAAGGCGCCTGTTCTCATCTGTCTTTAGAGTAGGCCGTTTCTTTTCGTTTAACGTAGCATTAATCATTGTAATTAGTATGCTTGTAGTATATTATTATGCTTGTAATTAGTTTGTAGTATGCTTAGGAGACTGTTTTCCGTGTTGCGTTAGGGGTTATGGCACACGGCGTTTTAATCGGGGAGTTACCAAGAGGGCCTTGTCCTTCTTGTTAACCCTTTGCTTAAAACGCCATGTTTACATAACCCCTAACTCAACATTGAAAGGGTTTTCTTAGCACGGTGTTTTAATCAGAGGGTTAACAAGGGGAACTTCTTTTTCCTCTTGTTAACCCTTTGCTTAAAACACCATGCTAAGAGAAACCCCGACTGAAAACAGTCTCCTCGGCACATAGAGTAGACATTAAATTGTACGTAGAGTAAGATCGCTTGAATGAAGTGGAGAAAATCGAACTGAATTGTTTTCAACCCCCCGTCTTTCTACTACTGCAAACGAGGCTACTGAGCCCCCGTCTTTCTGTAAAACGAAAACGAGGCCAGGCGGGCTAAATAGAGGCATCTGATTGGCTACTAAACAAAAGAAAAACAATAAAGAAATAGCAAACTCTGATTGGTCAATAGACAATAGAATAATTGAAATGGTGAGCTCTGATTGGTCGAGAATACAATGAAGCGGGAAAAAATGGCGTAATCTGATTGGCTAATAAACAATGGTGGCCCTCCGCGGCCAAGGGCTACCATAAAATTTGTATATTAGTAGGTGACGGCTCCCACCCGCAGCCACCAAAAGGGCTGAAATAGAGCAATTTGATTGGTTGAAAACAATGAACTGTCAATCATTTGCGGCTCCAAGCCGCCATTAGTTCAGCCACTGGTCGCGGCCAAGATTTTTGGCTGAAGACAATATAAAGCCGGGGGACTTTGCCACCAGAATCTCTGAAATTTTCAATAGAAATTCGGGGGAATATCTTTTGAATTCTCATTGTAATTATTGGAGAATTCCATTGAAATCTTTACTAAGTTTCAAGGATTAAACAAAGGAATAACAAATGAATTATAATGTATCTTTGTCATGAACACATTGAAAATTCTAGAAGGCTGGGGGTACATTCAATAGAATCAAAGGTAAAGTACAATAGGAAATCGGGGGTCAAATCAATAGGAACTTAGTAAAAATACAATAGAAAATCGGGGGTAAATTCAAAAGAATCTGAGGTGAAATACAATACAAAATCGGGGGTAAATTCAATAGAATCTGAGGTGAAATACAATAGAAAATCGGGGGTAAATTCAATAGAATCTGAGGTGAAATACAATAGAAAATTGGGGGTAAATTCAATAGAATCTGAGGTGAAATACAATAGAAAATCGGGGGTAAATTCAATAAAATCTGAGGTGAAATACAATACAAAATTGGGGGTAAACTCAATAGAAAATTGAGGGAATTAAACAGCATGGAAATTGAATTCAAATAAACAACCAGGGGTAAATCCAATCGTGTTGTTCTAAGCCAACTTGTATGAAGACATGTATAAACGTTTTCTCGTTTGAGTAAACAGCTGTGGCCTGTTTTATGGTATTTACGAGACGTTTGAGGGAAATTCGGATGAAAAATAAGTTCTTTAATCGACTGAGGTGGGGGCAGAAACTGGAATCGCAATAACAACACTAACTTGAGTCTGTCAACAAATGGAGGTACGCGATATAATATTGGAAAAATTAGATGCAACAGAGACTGATAAATTTTTTACTAGTTTAAAAAACTACTTGATATATTTTGTCCACGGTGTTTAGAGTTCGTTGGGATTGTGCAATGTTCGGAAGGACTCCACGTGCAAGCAATCACAGGCACGGTCAAGTTAATATCTGGTGTTCTAAGCGTCTTCGTGACACACACAAGGAGCTACAAGTAGAAAAGAAATGCATTTTATTGGTATAATAATCAGAATCTATTCACGGATTTACGAAATCGATGCTGGATAATTTTTACAATTGCACAGAACGTTTACAAATGGCAGTGTTGTGTTTACTATTTCCGTTTTATCGCTGAGATTTGCATAGTATGATGAACTTTGGAACTTCTGATGAATTGAAGAAATGAAATATAGAACATTGTGATTTATTAAATACATTGGGTCACTAAATTTGCGGGGCTGGGTTAACAGAACTGTGTGGGAGAGGAAGACGAGGTAATTAAATTGCTTAGATACTTACCAGTGTCATTAACAAAAATCAGCATTATTAAATAAAAAATATTCCATGAGCGATAGCACATTGTTTGCATCATTCAAAAAATTATCTTCTCAACTCTATCATTTTGACAACGCTAATTTCTTCGATGTTTTGGCAAGTTGTTTACAAAAACGATGAAACGTCGAGGTGGCTCTTTTGAAAACAAACAGAAAGAATTGTTTTGAAAACAAAGGGAAGTTTCTGTAACAAGCGTGCCCCTCACACTATATTTGAAAGGGCGAGATCTGCATTGACGGGTTTTCAAAACTAAGATAGTGTTGGTAGAGAATTAGAACTTGGGCTGCAAAATAAAGTTTTCATAGCGATGGAGTTTCAAAATGCTCTTGTGCGGACGGTTTCAGTTCAGTGGCTCATTTATAGTGTCTGCTTCATCATAACACAAAGCAAATTGTACACTGTAATATTTAGCATTGCTAATAGACAAAACTGAATGGACCGTAGCGGCTACAGGGCTTGGCGGCCACGGCAGCCATATAAAGCCTATGCCCAAAATAGTGGGTATTTTGGAAATATTTTGTGAACTTTGTGACATAATATTGGACGACAATGTAAAATATCATTTAATCCTAAGAATGTCAAGAGGGGTTGGCCAGCAAAAACTATTCTGGCCTTAGACCGCCATCTTCAGCCCCACTCTCAACAAGCCTCCTCTCGCTGCGGCACTGTATATTTTATTGATTCATTGCAAATTTTGTATTGTATTTATTCTTTTAAAAACTTTCTAGAATTTCTTATAACTCTGGGATTTTTTGAAGTGCCTCAGAGGAAAACCTCAGCGGCCAAAAATTTGCCTTCAGTTGATGACCCCAACGACCACAGTCTCGAATAAATTATGAGAAATTCTAGCGTTCAAAGATCGGGGAAATTTGGCTTCAAGCAAACAAGTAAGAAACTCAAACAAAAGCCTCAATAATAATTCGAGGTCTTCCGCGAAAGGGGCGCGGTCTACCGTCTGAGGCTTAATAAATTTAAAAGGAAAGGAGATACCTCTAACTAAATCGTTTTTGATGAAAATTTTTATAGAAAAGGACATTAGAGAGGATTTTTGCAATCTGGACAATATGCGTGCTATTCTATAACTCTAGTCATTTGTGTTATATAGTATTTTGTTTATTGCATCTTTTTATTCAAGACATTCATCTGGTCAAAAAGCTAAGGTGGGAAAGATTACAATAGGTGTACCCTTGTTTCATCTTTGCTTTGTTAAAAACTATCAAAGGCCTCTGATTAAAACAATTTCCAGATCCTTGCACTAAGATTTTCACGGACGTTTTCATGCATCGAGGCCAATTTACACCTGCCGGAAGAGCAACTCTAGATGCACATCATTTGCATCTAAACTTAAACATTCTTTCTTCGTGCAACTATTTGAATGTCAAGATTTATTGTTAGAATGACACCCTGTCTTTCAGGTATACTGGGCGTTAGAGCCTTGAAGGACACAAGTAAAGGCAGAAGGGCAGTGTAAATTATTGGAGACAGAAGGGGGCTCTCATTTTCTTCTTCTCTTTGAGGGTGTTAGAGCCTTGAAAGACGCGAGTAAAGGCAAAAGGGCAGTGCAAAGGGGGCTCTCATTTTCTTCTTCCCCGATTTTCTTCTTCTCCGATTTTCTTCTTCTCTATGAGGGTGTTAGAGCCTTGACAGACATAGGTAAGGGAAAAAGGGCAATGTTTATTACTGGAGATGGCATTCTTTCTCTAATTTTATTACACGAGACTCTGCTATTAAAGATATCTTTGAGATAGACGGTTGAAGTCGTAAATTTTTTTATGGATTTTGCTTACTTTTTAATCTTTCCAAATTGGTTTATCCACAAACTCGATAAACGCCTCAGTCGGATCTTTGATTAGTCCATCAACTTCGAACAGCATAACACGATTCATTTCTGGCACTTTCTTTATGGCACTAAGTGGAACAAACAATGTTTGCTGGGGTCCCATTGGGGTCCAATATCTGCCGATGTTGAAGTTGTTAACGAATGCCTGACCCTGAAAGACAATCGATGATTATCGAGAATCAAATATTTTGTACAAAAAAGCCAAAAGAAAACGAAATCTGAAAAATAAAGCTGACCAATGATAAATATTGGTGCAACTCTACTATCAAAACAGTGGCTTTTTAATGAAAATATGCAACTCCAAAAAATGCCTGAAGCAAATTACGGGTTGAGACACTTAAAGTCTTTTGAGGGACTCCTTGTACTAAAAGCCAAGAAAAAGATTATTTATTCTAAGGTTTTAAGTACATACTGGAAGTTTTTAGGTTGGGTTGGGTTGATGCTAAAGCTTCTAATCACAAGAGGTTGTCCTTGTTTAGGCCTAGCAATTTTAAAGTAACTTTTCGAACTGACACTCATAGAACTGATGTAACTGCCTACACTACTAGAGTAGAGGGTTTTTTTTCTTGTTCAAACGTCAATGGATTTGCACTGTTTGCAAGCACATGAAAGTATCTGAGGATATAGACCTGTGAGGTCCAATAGAGGGAGCAGGTTACAAAACTGAAGAGAACGTGCTAGCTCCATTTTTATTACTAAAAACAACTTTCCCAGATTCACAGAAATTGTTAAAGTCCTAAAGTCTTTCACAGATCATATCAATCTATGACAACAAATAAGTTATCATCCTTCGTAAAATGAAATTGGTTCCCCAATGATATTTGAAGGGGCTGTAGGCTAATTTACAAGGGAGCTAGATTTAAAATATGGTTTTTGAGGCTCTCGTTCGTATAACAGGAAATGTCAAAAAAAGACAATGGTGGCTTACCTTTGTAAATAAGGATGTCTTCATAAACGTATCATTAACTTCATTGGCAGAAAATTCACCAAAATAAAAGCTCGGGATCCCATTTGTATCATGTGAATTCGTCTCTATGCTTTCCCATGGAATTCGAGCAGTATTGTTTAAAGGAAGTGGGAAGATTTCCCAGTTTTCAAGGATCTCGCCATTCAATGTTACATTACCAATAATACCCTGGAACAAAAGGGGTACACCCTTAAGGATATATTGAGGGGATGTGTTGAAATATTGTAATGAGTTACGAGTGATTAGTTACGAGTAACAAGTTACGAGGAAAATGGCTATTGGTTTGAAGAGTTCTAACTCACCAATATGATTAACATAGTATATTTATTGCTCACCCATATAAGCATTAAATGGTACACTTTAAATACACATATGATGCCATTGATGCAGTGATTTTTTTGTATATAGCAAAACTTTAGCGGTCAGAGTAACTGTTGGCTGTAGGGAGGTATCAAATGTTATGAGACATATTGTACTAACAATAGGGAAGCCAGTGGGGTAAGATTGGGGGGTGGCGAAGGCGAATTGAGTCAGGGAAAATAGGGGTCCACGCCACTTTGAACGTCAGCAAAAGCCCTTTTTAAAGAGATTTTTTGACATTGAGGGGGGGGGAGCGTCCACCCCCTCTTGCCTCCCTGTCGCTACACCAGTGTGTAAAAGTACGTGACTACAAGATAGCCATGTTGGAATAGAATTACTCTTCTGCTACCTACGAATGGATGTTTCACTGTATCTTAAAAAGATTCTCCAATTGAAAACAAGAGTACTACATTGATTATATAGAGAAGTTGTAAGACTCTATAGCCCCAGCCTTTTCAAATACTTTATTATTTAAACAGATGTGTGCCATGCTGAATTTACAATTCTAGATTGGGTTGTTAAGAGCACCTGAAAATGTATCAGGAAGGGTGCGGGTATAGTCCAACAATCACATCCCTTCTCTATTCAAAAATAGAGCATACGTATTTCTAGAGCAGCCATATCAATATTGAACCCGTTCGCAGCCTAAACTATTTCCATCACATCATTGACATGAATCGTTAAATAGTCAATGTGACTTTGGTATCAGTTTATAGATCTTTCACACAGTAGACACTTGTGAGCTACAAAAATCTTTGCCATTAGCTACCAGCCAGCAGTCAGTAAAATGACGATTCTCTCAGTCAAAATGAAGGGAACAGCCCAGCGTATATTTTTTGTTTTGACACATTTTGCTTAAGTTTGAAAATATTTTTGAGAACAGTCTTTTTAAAGAACGAATGTCAACTAACTACTCAAGCTCAAAAACGTAGAGATCCGCAAATAGGTTACCTTTGGGTCGTAAAGGCTAGTGAATGAGCCATACTTGTAGTTTACTCTTCCTTGGTTTTCAACCTGTGAAAAAAGATTAACTTTCAGATTAAAAAAAGGAATTTAAAAGAAAAAGGTAAATAATTCAAAATAAGTCCTTGAAAATTTTAAGACGACCAGAATTACCCACAAGAACTTTTTAAAAACCAATTCGCACACGAGAGACTAAAAAAAGTTCGATATGAATGTGTATCAAAAATCAGTTACAAATGACCTGTTGATTGTATATGTGTAAAACTTGGAACTGCAAATTAGAACTGTCCTGCTCTACACCCCAATATGTGTACAGTTCTGCTTGTACAGCATCGAGAACTTCAAAACAGACGGGTAAGCACTAATATTTCCGTTATCAACAAAATAAGCAAGTAAAAATATGAAGACAATAAATACAATTTCATCTATGCACGATTAAGCAGTAAACCCAAAACGCAGACATGGAAAATGGGAAGTGATTTCTTACAATGCACTCATATGATAAATTGACCTAATTTAGGAACATTGTGTTCAGAAATGTGATCCATCAAATAAGGGTTCAAAAACGCAATTTCAACAAGTACTGTACCAAACTCAGAAAAGACCGTCTCAAACCTGGCACATGCTAATAAGCCTTTGGAAGGTAAATCTTGCCCCTAAAAGCTTCCTAATACCCCAAGTACAAAACCGCATCCATTAAATGAATACGTCACAAATTAAGAAAGCTTGGGAGGTCCATTCATAAAATAAAGCATTCACCATGAGCAATTTTGAAGGGCAGGTTACGTTCCTGGCACTCAAGCCCATCAAATGGTTTTAGAATTTCTCAACACCCCACACCTACATATTGCTATTCTCTTGTAAAAGCTATTTCATGCATTCTTCATAACTAGAAACACCATTTCACAGTAAGTCAACCAAATATAATAACCAGCAATTTAATGATAACATGCAACCAGCCTTACTAGAATATCTAGTTCTTGTCCAGACTTTATGCCAGCTTGAATGTTATCACCTCGATTCAATCTACATTGCAAAACCTGTCAAAACAAGACACCAATACATAAGATATTCAATAAATAACTTGATATTTTCATATGGTGACGCCTCCCCCCCCCCCCTAAACAATAATACTAACATTTAACAATATCCGCAAAAAATTAAATCATTCATTCTTATCCACGTAGCCTTTTATTCAGTACACCGGTATTTTAAGTTCAGCATAATGTGTGAACTTGCAGAAGATCGGAATATCCTGCAAGTACATATGTTCTCTTGCTGTCTGGCTTGTTATAATGGGGTCAAAGTCAGATCAGGTGTGTAGGTCACGTTGTGAGCTGTTTTTTACAATCATGTTTATTTCCGCAATAATGGACAGTATAAAAGTTTTTGTGGAGAAGAAATCGTTGAAATAAAGACAATTTCAATCACTAATGTTTATTCGGTGACTCTTAAAAGATGTCCGTAAAGCAGCTGGAAATGGTAACAAACATATGCAGTAAAATACTTCAAAACCAAGATACCTTGTCAACCATGATCACTGATCGATCACGAAGTGCATCAATTTTGATCGTCATTGTGTTTGATAGATCACTCGAAATAATTTTTGTTCTGTATAAAATGAATCCATAACTTTGGTCAAGATCTTCCATTGATTTTGGATACTGTGATTTGACAGGGCCATCTGGCGTAAGGTATGGCAATGCATCAAATATTGTAATCATCTGTAAAAAATGGAAAATATATTAAGGCTCCCCTGTTCACAAAACATAGTTGGTAATCCTCCAGCAATTATACAATCTCCTTGAACTATAGACAGGGATTCTTCATGTTTGATGAACCATATAAAACGCCTATAATATTACGATACAAACTAGTGGCGCTAACCTTTGGTAAAGAAACTTTCCCATATGCAACCTTTGGCGTTGGTCCTGGCACAGGCATTTGGGGGATTTCCAAGTACTTGGAAATAAGCTTCCTCAAGGCAAAATACTTCTCAGTTGGATCTCCCGCCTCTGAAAGTGGTGCATCGTAGTCATAACTGGTTGGCTCTGGTTGAAACTCCCCGTCTTTCATTAGTTCAGCGCCATTCGTAAAGCCAAAGTTGGTGCCACCCTCAAACATATACCTGTCAAAAATATCAATATAGAGGCACACTGAGTTGTATTATGGCTTGCATCTTGTCCCGAATTACAAAGGAAGTATAGGTTTGAAAGTTTTCAACTGTTGGAAAATTGACAGGAGCCTCTAAAAAAGTTAAAATCTTTTAGACACAAATGAGTACTTTAAAATTCAAAGTAATAATTCTGAGCTTAAATAATAGTCTAAAAAGAAGGGATCTAGAAACAGGAGAGCCTAACAGACTGATATTCTAAAATCATGAAAAAGATAAAAAAATCGCAGAAGAAAATGTATCGCGGTGAGCAAAAACTGAAACTCGAGAGCAGTGGTGTTTTGTTCTTTCTTATTTGGAGGAATATGACACTTTTCGCATGGTTAAAGAGGTTTGTCAAGTAAGGCTGAAAGGTCGTAGTGTCTACTTTTTTTTAGAGAATCAAGTGGAAAAAGAGGCTGATGATCCAAAATATCATGGTGAAGTATATGTAGTAGAAAAGGAAAGGGTACACGTCACAAGGCTATGGAAACACGAGGAAAATTTATTAGAAGATTTTAGGAGGAAAAACTTACAAGTTAACAGATGCATTTTGCTGAAGTACTATATCAAGCTGATCAACAACGAGTTCGGTGGCTCTCTTTTGATGTGGCTCCCCCCAATGATCCAGCCATCCAGTGTAATATTCTGTGTTTACCTAAACGAATAAAATTGTGTTTCCTCGTGAAGTAGAGCTGTAAGCTTTCAAATAATGAATCATATAAAACCAAAGTTAAAAAGTCCCCATTTTTGGAGCCCAGCACGGTTCTGTTCAAAGCTTTGTGCAGTTTGTTGGAGCCAATATCAAGCCAAACCATAAAATCCCACTGTAGGGTAATCTAGTCATAATAGCTTGTAACCTCTTTTTATTAATTTTTGCTAAAATGTTAAACATCTTTACTGTCTTCTTTATATTGCTCTAAAGCTCACAGGCTCAAAAGGGTTTTTTGGCAGATGTAAAATCATGTTAATATTCAATATCAATTCGAAATGTGACAGGGCAGACTTTCTAGATTCTTTGTGATTTTCTACAATAGCAATGACAAAGAGCAACTTATGTTTACCTCGAGGATATTTTAATGAGCTAACAGATGCTGCTAACTGAGAAAGACTCAATTAAAGCAAATATTGTTAACATGGGTTATTTCGAATTGACAAAACCTGCACATTTAGTTAACTGCAAGTACCTTAAATGTCATCTCATAATTACTGGATTTTAAACTCCATCGAAAAACTGGTATTCCACATATAAAGCGTAAGAGCTGAGAAAGTAGAAATCAGTGTCTTAATTCACTAACTAAAGGCCCCTTTGGCTGTAGTTTCCTCAATATATCAAATCCATGAGCAACATCCTTTGTTGGTCCGAAATCAACAGTTCTAAACGTGGTAGGAAGACTTCCACATTTAAGCTCATTTTCCCGGAATCCATCATCAACAGAGAACAAGATAACACTTGATTCAAGGTACTTTGTGTAGAACTGCTGCAACTGTTCCAAGTAATCTTTGTCACATGCAAAATAACTTCCATACTCATTTTCAATCTGGAAAAGAATAGCAAATCCAATAATGAACAGAAAGAGATAAAAAAACATTTGGAACAAAACAGTTCTTAGTTTTCAGTGTTTGCTACTCTGAGTTTCACTTCACCTCTTAATGCAACCTCATTCAGCAACTGTTCACTGATAATAGCACCAAACTCTGAGCAGCAAATCAGAGCCATCCTGATCTGAACACCAAAAGCATAGACTGTACAAGGCACAGACTTGTAAATAATTGACAAAAACTTTTGGAGATGTATTAAATTGAATTTGATTTTCAGTTACCAGCAAAAACCTTCCTTAAACAATTCTAAATATTTTGTTTTCTTTGTAAAAGTTGATAAATCAACATCAAAAACTGTATAAATCACAGATAATAAATTGATATATATTTATTAATTTACCTTACTTTTAAAATTATTTTATTATTTTACTTTTGCATAAATAATTTTTTAAAAATGATTTCCTAACTTAATCAATTTTTCCTTCTTTTTCAATCTTGAATCATTGGATATTGACTGCCTTTATAAACTTCTATAAATATCTGTGAACAGAAGAAAAATAAAGAGATCAAACATCAAAACATAGAGATTGCTTTATGTGAATACCTGGAGCATGACAACTGGTCCTCCATTACAATAGACAAATGGCCTAAGCTTTGGGAGAAGCACTGCATACCAATCTTGGACAGCTTTAATGAAGAATTCATCCTTTGATGTCCTTAGCTTGATGTCTTTCTTCTTTAGAAGCCACCATGGAAGCCCACCAAAATCTCGCTCAGCATCAATAAAAGGACCTGGCCGTAAAATAACCAGCAAGCCATTCTTCTGCGCCAATTTGATGAACTCAAATATGTCATTCTCTCCCGAAAAGTCATATTGACCAGGAGTTTGTTCATGGACATGCCAAGCTATGTAGCTGAAACAATACACTAGAATCTATGAATACTCACTACAACACAAATGACAAACTATTGTCTTAAACTTAAATGTTGAAAACTTTCTGATATACTGTTGCTGTAAGTTTAAAAGGTGGTATCAAAAAGAAAAACCGGTCTACAGCCAACTGTTTGAGGTGTCAGTGTTTTTTTTTACTTGCAACTCTGTGGGATGGCATGCAGTCTGCCAAAACCTCAGCACTGCTTTGTAGTGTGGTCTTTGGTGATATTGCTTAAGAACTGTCAAGTCTCTAAGACTCATTTGTACCTCTTTTCACACTTTACTACCTCCCACATGCAGGGTCGCCTGCACAAGATTAGGGCAGGAGGGGCAGTGTTGATGCCGAAGGCAAATCGTTGAATTTTTCTATTAACATAATCGAGCATTCCTAGGTGGGAGGGAGGCAAGGGTGGGGTAACATAATAGAATATTAACTTGAATATGCGCCACCCATTTAGTTGGGTTTTTTACCATCAAAGATTCTAAACATAAAGAAAATGTTGACGAAATTACCCATAAATGAAAATGGTTATTAAATGGCCTTGTCACTCATCATTCACAATATTTGGTTTAATAAAAATCATAGCTGCTATAAATGAGCTGGATGTAAAATTTTGATTGCCCCCTAAGTTTTTATACCGATTTATCCTCCTTAGGTTCCTGGAGTACTTCTGAGGGTACACATCTTTTGTTTATCATTTATTATCTTTGCCGCTCTCCCTATGTGGCAGACCTTGTCACAGACAAACTTTTCATTCTCTGCATTTTTGTGCTAGTGTTATCATCCTTCTAGTATTTTCTAATAGATATCAACATAACAAGAGTAGTCAAAGTGGTCATCATATTTCAGGGCACTTCTTGCCCCCTTTGCCCCCCCCCCCTTTGAAGAGGGCAGCTGCCCCTCCAGCCCCCCTTGTGTAGGCGCCCTTGCCCACATGCATTGCCACTGACAGCCTTATTGCTGACTATAGGTCAGCTTTAGGTCCTCATTCAGTCTAGCTGTACTGATGAGCCCTGACATGGGGTGAAACCGGTCTACAACTGATTGCTTGAGGTGTCAGTGGTTTTCTTAACTTCTCACATGAAAAAAATCTATGTAGACAAAGAATGGTATAGAAAATAAAGAATATAAGCTGGTGGTATTTACTCTCTTTTGCTAATCAAATCACATCTGCCAGTGGTTTGAAAGCATTTTTCTATACTATAAGACTAGACAAACAAGTACCAATGGAAAAGTAATATTAGTGTATAAGGTTAAAAAGCGTTGTGATTTTACGGCAAAAACTAACTTCACTAGCACATTGAGCTACAAATGGCTTACCTTTCAACTACATTTAATCCTGCTGCTCGTATTTTCATGAGACGATCGTTCCAGTGGCATCTTGGCACCCGGAAATAATGCATTGACCCAGATATATACCTAAATGGCTTACCATCTTTACAGAAACAGTTATTGTCTTTGTCAATAGTGAAACTCCTTTGGTTTGATGCCATGTTTAATGCAATGAAAACAAGGCAGATGAAAAATGAGCAGAATAACTTGTATTGAAGAGGAGGCATTTGCCTTCACAAAAATGTCACTTTGGAAATAGCCTATAAAAAAGGAGAAAAATTATCTATCAGAAAGATAAAACATGCATAATGGATGACATTATCAGATAATTGTGAAGGGATGATACAGAGCATTTTGAAACCAAAAAGGTTTCCTCATAAATAATTATTCCATTTGACATCATGGTTGTTCCCGAATATTATACAGTTTCAATAAATGTACACAAATATACCTTTTGCACTCAGTAAAAAACTGAGAATCTGGTACATCTGTGTAGAACGCACTCCTGTTTAACAAACAGTCAAAGAAGAAGATCAATACCAACCTGTTGTCTATTTATAACATATCATATGGTGGGTCACAAGATCTTGATGACAGTGCCAATAATATTTTATAGAAACCACACTGAAGACATGATCAGAGATTGGCAGGTTTACAAATAAAACCAGAATCCACTAATTTGAACTGTCTTCAAAATTGTTTTTTTAATGCTCCCCACTTTTCTTCCACAATTCACAAAACCAAGGAGTATGATCTAAGATATCCAGTGTTGTATTTTTTGCAAACTTATAAACTTATAAAACTGCAAACTTATAAAATGAGAGCAAGAGTGCTAAGCCCCTTGTTAAAGGGGGAAAGTGTCAAAAAACATACTGTCAAATCAGGTAAGAAGCAAAAGCCAAAAGTATCACAAGGAATTTCTTACCCTTGGTCAAGTGACCCCCGTGGGAGCTTCTTGCTGTTTGCAAAAAAATTTAAACGCCCCAATATCGTTTAATACCACTACACTCATACATCAATTATTACCTTTAGATAAGCTCACATAAATTTATTATCATAATCATTAAGGCCTCAAAATCGTAAATGCCTCAAAATCGCATATTTACAATCTGAATACAAAATCCAATCATCATGAACTTTTTACATTAAAAAGTAAAAAATAACACCTGTGGCATATTGCCTGCAACGGATACCCACAAGATCCTTTTAATGCCGTTGTAAAATGCTGGTATTCGCTGCAGATCTTTTCATTAAATATAAGGCATTAATGATCCTGTTACCTTCATCAAAGATCCATCGCAATTTCGCTTTCTTCTTGGTTTTATTTGAGACACAGTAGGATTGAATTTAGACAGCATGGCATAAAACTGTTTAAACACAGACGAGAACAATAAACACAATGCCAACTTACCATCATATTACTAGACCACCCTCTACTGCCAAACAAAACATTTTTGTCTGGCCATTGAATAAAAGAAATATTTTGTGGTCTGGCTTACCACTTCCTGTTTTCAAGCTGAGATGAGAACTTGCCCTGCGCAGAATATCTTTTTTGGTAATTTGAAGAGATGGTGCATCTCATAATGATGGTGCATCTCAAACATTTCCATTCAAATAATCGGAACAAGCAGCAATGAAAGTACGAAAAATTATAGCGAAAAACACTACCATCTTACATAGGAGAGGAGAGAGAGGAGAGAGAGGAGAGAAAGGAGAGAGAGGAGAGGAGAGGGGATCAGGGACTAAACCCTTCATGACGGGTAGCCGCAGTCGTGCAATCTTTTTAATACAAAAAGTACTAATTAATCTTAAAGAAATATAAGGTCTTTTAAAGAAAGACTCACTATTGGAGAGACTCACGGCCAGTTGCCAATGAAAATGTCTGAAAAATAAGTCTGAAAGATAAGCCACAAAATCAGTTTAGTAAAATGAAACAAGTATGTGTCTAACCCCAGAATCGTTTCAAAAAAACTTGGACAACTTGGCTCATGCCATGTTTCCCAGTCCTATAGAAAAATTTGGTATTTCTCTAACTAATTAAATAGAAACTAATTTAATAGAAACATATGTCCCGAGTTAATGTATTGTAAAGCTCCGCTTATCATACTATACCTCCAAATCATACAGCAATTTGCAATAAAGAAATACACTAGTCATACAGGCGTCCAAATCGATTCAAAAGTGATGACTTTTGGAAAAACCATAGAAATCCAATTCCATTTGACGAGAATGAGTTGTTATGAAGAATACTAGAGAATATTGCAAAGCCCCCTCGTCATCTTTTATAACGGTCTTAGGCACTTAAATAGTCATAAATCCAAGTACTAAAAGAGTTGTGGTTTCTAATAAATACGGTCACAAGAATGTTAGATAAAAAATACAAAACAGTTCTGTGAAAGATGGAAATGAAAAATTTGAGTAGTTAACGATACTTTAGCAGCATCAGCATAATTGTTCCCCTGAAATGTTACTTAAAAGCTGAGATGATTTCTCGTCTAGCAACAAAACAGAGATTTCTTTGAAGTCAGCCATCTTGTCTGCAGCATACATAACAAGAGTTCAACATTACGTGGACCAGAAAAGCAGCCATTGTACTACGAGATCGTCACTACCCTAAGTGTACTTTGATAACTTTTCCAAACACCATACATAAAACCTGTATCCATTACACGACGTTAGTTCAATTTGATTACATGAATCTAGTGTTCTGCATTTTACTCAGTCCGTGCTTTACCGCCAAATCCTTCTATACTGCAGTCTTGTATTGCAGCTTCTCATAGTTCGAAGGTTAATGACGTTTCATCGATTGCGTTGTAAATGAAGGCATTATTAACTGGTATAAATTGCTTTGTAACGACTTTGATTACTTCATGTGCAGCAATACCTTAAACAAAAGTACAAAAACGTGTTTTCTAACATTATATTACACTTCTTGAAATTATATCACCAGAACCAAACAATTTTTGCCGAGGCTCGATCTTCTACATTGTTGGATAATTCGAAGATCGGGTGTAGTTAATTTTGTTCTTTTTTTGAAACTGACGTTTCAATCAAAATTTGCCTTACTATTTTAGTTGCACGGGTGATTAACTGATGAAATCTACTCTCTTTTGTTAACATGAGAGAAAATTTTCGAAATCAAATTGTTGTGTAAGGTTGGATCATGTCCTTACATTGGGCTGGCTTTTTTATTGTATTTTATTTTATTATCTGTTCTTAATGTATGACAACGAATTACAAGGCCCGTGGAGGATGACTGTCCTATAAGCGACAGGAATAGGCAATCGCTGTTGTGTTTGTTTGAAAATTTCAAATATTAGCAAACTCAGAAGCAGATATGGCAGCGTCAATGAAACTTTTTGTGCCAATTAAAACAAACACAAAAATCCACATAGAGTGTCTTACCTCCAATGATTGCAGATGTGGTATGAAGTTGTGCAGCACCACTTCTACACCTATAATAGGTTAAATTAACGAAACTTTAAAAATATAACTAAATAAAATCTTAAAGCCACTTCAAAATTGAACAGTCTTTCATCGTGAATTTTCAGGCTATGAAGTGAAAAGTCAAAATTTCAAATGCACAATTTATGAAGTCAAAACTATGTAACTCTACCGTACTGTATCCAAAAGCTAGTAGTGAGGCTGATGATTTTAAAGGTTGCACAAAATAAAGCTTGATTCCAATAATTTCTAATGAAGATTCTTAATCACAGTCTTTTTCACAAAATGAAAGGAAATCAACATAAACATTTTCATTAACTAAATGCTTACATTTCTCTGATAAAGTCATCTTTCACGCCGACAGCAATGTGGTACTCACTTGCTAATTCACCAGATATAGCCTGTAATTCCAAATAATAAATGCCTTATAATTATCTCCACAGGGAGGTGAGGGACAAATTTGGAACGTGATAAAAGAGAAAAGTGTGAAGATGATTTTTTAGACTTTCTCAAAAATTTCGCTCCGTAATTCCGAACATATCTCGCGAATATGCCCTTATAATCCAGTTAAAAAAGAAAATTGCAAATGAAATGAGCTTGCACTTCGTGAAAAAGCTACAAATCGAGCTTTCTGTCATGGCAACTTGGAGATCTTTTTATACGCCCCACCCTTCATACGCCCCCCCTCGCATTAGCAAATGCATGATCTGTGAAATGCATCGTTGTACTGCAAAAATAAAATTCTAGAGTTTTTCATTTGTTTTGAGCTCAGGTTGCAGTGTCTATATACAATTTGTTACTTTTAAAGAAAGTTGCTTGTTAATCCTGCCTAAAAAGCGTTGCTTGTTAATCCTGCTTAAGGCTTTCCCTAAAAAGCGTTGGTCTAAAAAGCAGGCCCCGGTTTCACTCGGAGTGAAATATATATATATATATAATTTTATTGTAAAATACGTTTTTTACGTGTTTTTTTTAATTCCCATTAAAGACATTTCGATGAGAATGACTTTTTATTGCGAATATAGGAACAGAGTTTCATTTTTTAACATTTTGTGTTGGTGGCGTGCCTCGTGATTCATTCAAGGAAAAAATGTGCCGTCAATAAAAATGTCGAATTTAAAAGAGCTGAAGCTGGCAAAATGATAACTTAAAATGCCAGCAAATCGCCCTGAATGTAAACTTGTACCAAAAGGGTGACAAATTACCTTTAGCTTTTCAAAATCGTCTTCCAAGCATTCATCCTGCGACCCTGAAATACCGGCAAAGATTCAAATTGGACATCACAATAAATTGACTCTAGATAGCTTATGCAGCATTTTATTCGTTTAGAGAGTTTTGAATAACAGCGAATTTAAAAATTTTGAAGCACAGAAATATTCAGGAAAGTTTCAACCTTCATCAAATTGTCTTGACAAAGCAATAAATGCTGAGAAAAAATCACAGTATTTGCAAAATAAACAAAGAAATGACTTAAAGTCAAATTGTTTTAATCACGCCTATCTAGACCTTTTAAAGCATATCTAGTCCAGCCAGATTTTAGCAGTGAGCAGAAGATAATTTATTGCTAGCAGTCTGGGTCATTCTTAGAACGAAATATAAAAATGGATGGTTATCATCATACATTGCCGTGTTAGCATTACCTATCAGTATCTTATTTCAATATTAAATCATAAAATTGTAGCAAGGACATTATTGATCTCTCTAAGGTTAAGTAAAACAGACAGTATTAGGTTTATCGACAGTATTTTCCTCAGGACATGTTACGGTACAGGGATCAAGTGGTGTGTTGTCTAGAAAGACCTAGTACCTACCTGGTAATCGCTTGTTTCCTTCTTCGAAAATATGCACACTTCTTAAAAGTAAATAGAGAAGTGCAAGGGAATCCTCATTGTCGCCTATGACGTCACCTAGATAAGGAAATCGTTTCAATGAACTGTATGATGAGAATATTGGATGGTGCAAACGAAAAGGAAACAGTTAAACTCACAATAGAGGCTGTAGGCCTTCGAGTTAAGCATCTTGGGCAATTACAAGAATCGCCTTTGTGTAAACAGGCTTTGGTTAATCAAAGTGTAGCGAATTGAATAATGATGGAAAAACGAGCAAGTAGATGCTGGTATGGTCAAACAGTAACAGGACGATAAGGGCTAAGATTTATGTTTTTACAAAGTAAACTTAAAAAACTACTACAGACATAACTAAAGAAATGAATAAGATAATATTTAGGGCCCTGGTTTTCCCGTGCATCCATAAAATTTTTTTTTCATGTATAATTGTATAAGGGACTAAAATTTTGCTACTTGACCAAGGTCGTAAAGAGCAGTATCTCTAACGCGCAAGTTTTCAAATTATGATATGGCAAAGAGGGGAAGGCAACCAAACGATTAGAAATATAGATGAATATTGACATGATCCTAAAAACAACAAAATGTGAAAATTCTGAAAATGCTAGATTAGATGAAAAACAAACCCATTTTATGGAAAGATTGAATCTGCACATTTACGGATTAGGCTCGAAGAAGCCAAACAATAAAGAATTTCATCTCTTACCTATTTTATGGGAATTTCCTTCCATCGAGTGGCGTAGCTCGTTTGAGAGAGGGTGCCCAGACATGGCGTGTAGAAAATATGCATTCTTACCTAAAAGCATTCGAAATTTTCCATCTTTAACACGAATAAAATATATGGTTAGAGCGCCACAATAAAGTTAAGGTACACTCTGAACAAGGAAGTAACCCTTTCAGTTGTTTGCGATGAGAAAACTAATAATTTGTTTTACATGTTTCCAAATCAAATTTTTTTCCAAATATATTTGATAAAGGTTGCAAAATGAGATGAAAACTCACAGAATAACTTCGTGTCTTCAATCTTTATGAAGTCACTTTCCTGCGAAAAAACATTTCGAAAAGACATAATTTTCGAGGGAAAATCAAAAGAATATTTTATTCTACCACCGCCGAATTTCATTCCTATTTACAATGTACAAAGTAGCCCTCTACCAGGTCCTTGTGATATTAATGAGTATTATCGAAGTCACTGGAATAAGTTTTCCAAGGAAAGAGCTTTGATTTCTTAATACATATACTTGCGACTTCTACAAAGCACAAACGATCTAATAGACAACAATCAGCAATGTTAATAACACACTTACCAGCTGCATATCCAACAGGCATTGCTCAACTATATCATGGACACATTCTATGTCTTTAGTTGCTTGTTCTTTGTAACTGAAAGAAAACGCAATTCAAATAAGTCGGCGTTCATGTCCAAGGTATGTTGATGTGATTTCTAAAAGATTATCAGTATTGAAGAGATTGTGTTATCACCATAAAGTTTACACTAAACCTATAAAAGGACCTTTAAATTATTACGGAACGCTAATAAAATAAGTGTATGTAGCAGAGTAGAATCGAGATTTTTTGTGGCAGATTGTTAGGTGTTTAGCGTAAAAGCTACGTATTTTCTTTTAGGGTTAGCTAATGTTTTACTGATCAGCAAAAAAGTCCTTGAAGCCTTATAGGCAAAAATACACACGCTTTGCTATACAGAACAAGACGGTGCTGCTGTAACTGCTACGACTTAAAACCATTCTAAAGACGGTGCTGCTGTAACTGCTACGACTTAAAACCGTTCTAAAC